TCCTTCCTGAAGTGGATTCCAAATCAAGGGAGTAATGCTGCTCATCTCACAGGTGACAAAAGGTTTGTATACAAAAATCCTCAGGTTTTGGATACTGTGCCTTTGGTTCCTATGGTTTTTCCTGCCCTGGCATGGCATAACTGCACTGTAAGGCCTCTCTGCTCAGGACCATACTGGCTGCAAGCCCAGGTGGAGGGAGAACACCCACTGCCTGGCACGAGGCACATGGAAGGGAGACCATCACTAGGACAATGGGGCCTTTTTCTTGTAGCCCAAGGACACATGAAGATGAGACTTTTCTGGTCAGTAAATACTGCCTGTCCAAGGCCCTGCAACCTGCCCAGCAGACCTTGGCATCCTGTAAAACATCCAGAGGGATGCAGTGCATCCCACTGTGGGGCAGTTGGAAGAGACAGCTGTCTGACCACACGTGGTCATCTTCTGGCTCCACAGCCCATTTCCTCAGCTCTTGTTTGCACAGGTAGAAACAAAAGCGTGGCCCCTTAAACCCAGGTCTAGCCAAGTGCTGAACTGAGCCACCCCCAGGTGCCTCTGAATGATGCTGGAACACCTGACACCTGTGAGAATCAGGCCCAAATACAGCTGCAGAAGCTCAGCCACAGGCAGTTATTTTTGAGAGAGACCAATACCTGTTGTTACTATATTAATTAATGTCTGTACCACTGGGATCACAGCTAAGGCCTTCTGAGGAGCAGTTATATCAACTGTGCAGTTGAGAGCTGCACCAAGACCTCCTTTAAAAACGTCCACAGTGCCTGTGCTGAAGGAGGAGAAAGGAAAAGAAAATTTAAAACTATTTCGACCCATGAGATACAGTGTTGGCTGGTTTAACTATGAGAGCTGGAAGCATTGTTTCCATGAAAAAAAAAAATAAATCAATTCCAAAGCGTTTGAGGCTTTTGATGAGCTGTGAACACAGTGTAACAGAGTGGGAGTGTCTGACCCACAAAAGCTTACACTGGCCCATGTGTTGGTGCACTGTGCAGCCCAGGGACAGCTGATTCCGTGCTAGCTTTTCCTGATCCTGCTTGTGAGGCTGAGACATGCATGAACCTAAAGTCTGAAAGGGCAGCAGGTGGAACACACACATCAGTCACAGTGTGACTGGGGGCACATCTGGCATATCCAGGGGCTATGGTTTCCTTTCCCCCCGTGAAACTGGGCTGGGGTAGCAGGACCAGTGGAGCCCTGGGTGCTGTGTGTCCACTGCCCTGCTTCACCTCCTCCAGAGCCCAGGACTGAGGGGAGGAGGCAGAGCAGTGACCAATCTTTCCTCTGGTTGTGGGTCAAGTCCTGCAGCTTTTATTCCCATTAAAGGCATACCAAAATCAACAGAACTTTTCTGCAGACCAAAGGAAATGTTATTTCTCTCATTATTGCCGTTAGCCCCAGCTCCAGGCACACAGCCAGAAGGGGAGACTTTGTCAGGTTTGCTGGGTCTCCAGGGCCTGTTGTTAATGCTAATTTGAGAATGGCACTGGCACAGTCTGGTCAGGAAATCCAGTACCAGGGGGTTAACTTTCAGCTCTTATACCGAACACAAATCAGTGAGGAAATTCACTGCTAGGTGCAGTCTCTAATTATTTAAAAGATAATTTGCATGCTACACAGAAATAAATTAGCTCCCAGGTGACAGCTGTTCCTCTGTGTCCATTTCTGGAATGAGATGCCATGCAGGGAAATCTAAATACAGACCAAAAGATTAAAACACTGCACTTTCTTGCCTCACAGGAAGGCCCTCCACAAAACTGAGGCATAAAGAAGGGAGGCATAAAGAACGGATGCTTCAAACCATCAAGTTTACAAGCTTAACTAACAAATCACAACATTTTCACAGTCTACATTCTTTTCACTAAGGGCCCTTCACATCTTGCTAGAAGATGTAACATGTACTAGTTTAAAAGCATTTTTTTCAAAGCCAAAAAGAAATTCAGTCCTAACCTCAGGTTTGTGCTCATGCAGGGTCCTCACAGACCATGTGAACGATGCCCAAAACAGCTGGGTTGTTTTTGATCACACAAATAGAAACCAGTAAATGCATTTTCCTGCTCCTCACCAAAAGTCAACCAGGCACCACTTTTTATCCACATAAGAGTCAAGACAATCTTCATCTCACAAGAGCTGCTAAACTGTTTTTCAGTGTATCAGTTTTCTAATAACCAGTCTTGTCCTGGCTCAGTTCTAACACTGTCTACTGTACACTGCACACATATATATGTACATTGTATGGTGCACTGCAATGTGCAGATGTATATGTATTGTAGATGTGATATATTATGAGAGTACATTATATTGCCAGTCTTCTGCTGCTGCTCTACCCCCTCCTGAGAGCAGGAATTTGCTGCTTTCAGGAGCAATTTGCTTCCTCCTCTCCCTTTTCTCATCTGTCCCTGCCCTCTGCCTTGGCTGCCTGCAAAGGGTTCCCTTTGCTTTTCGGTCTCCCACCTGCTACACCTGCTGGAGAATGTACCCTCCTCACAGGATGGACATGTGCAACAGGAACACCAAGCCTGGGATGAGCAGGAACACGTGTGTGAGAGCACCACAAGAACCACATGAGCGAGGTGATTAAAGAGCAGCATATGTTCATTGCTGAGGAGCAACATATGGGATTTCATACACATGACCAAAGAGCAAGAAGAGAAGGAACAAACCTATCTAAAGATAAGGTATAAAGAAGACTAAAAACCACGGGAGGCAATAAAATAACCAGATAAGAAAAACCTGGCAACTGTAATTCAGGAATTTTGCCACAGGCTAATAAGAGGTGAGATAAAATAAAGAGGCAAAAGGTCCCAAACAACATCCCTGTCTAAAGGCTGTAAAAGACAAGTCCAAAATTAGTTCATCATGACTAATTAGGGAGAACTCAAGAGATGTGATGAGGTCCTGCTACGTGGTGTCCCTCTGTGCAGCACACCAGTGACCCCGGGCGGAGCACCGGCCTCGCAGGTCCCGGGGCCTGTGGCAGGGGGTGTGAGAGGACCCCAGCCATGCACAGCTCAGGGCTTGGTGAGCACAGAGCAGGGAAGACACCCCCAGTCTTACAGGAGCAAGTGACTCTCCAGTGAGTGTATGTGCTGCTATCAGGTAAAGCTGCTCCTCTCACTCTTAAAGTGCTGCCTGGCCCAACATCCTATTAACAGATCATCACTGGGATCTTCACCTCTCCTGAGATTTTTACAGTCTCTGTGGATGTTTAGAACTTGACCTTACTTTGTAATCCCCTGATCATCAGCTTGTGCCCTGTGTGTGATCCCATCAGGATCACGAGCACAAGGAAGGCTAACCCATTCTTATTTCTCTGAAGAAGAAATAAGTTGTGTGTTCAGAAAGTTCACATCTCCTCTCTTCCAAACCTGAGTGCAGCTGTCAGGGAAGCAGGTGAGTGAGCTGCACTGAGGTCCTCAGGCTGGGCTATGTGCCCAACGTGCAACAAGGGAGAGAAAGGGAAAATATGCTAGTTTGGTCAAGGTTAGGAAAATACTGCTACCTGTGCTGCAGGCAGAAATCCCAAAGCAAGATGATTTATTCTTCCAGATGTTGCTACTGGTGTGAAACTTGCTGGTACATCTAACAACAGACACTGTAACCACATCTGGGCAAACAACCACGGCCTCAGTGTCTGGTTCACACAACAGATGAGCTCACAGCTGCACATGCACATTGCAATGCCAGAAAAAGGACTACTGGTACCTTGCCACAACCTGAACGAGTTCCTTCCAATGCTCCAAATGTATGAGCTGATCAGCATCAGCCGTGACAAGGAAAGAAAATATGTTGTCTTAGCCCATATCTCACACACTTGTGTCACCCTCCTTCAGGTCCTCCTACTGGCCATATGCCGTTCAGGGGAACTTCATGTTTGCTGTGTCCCATTCCTCTTTTGTAAAACAAACCCAACATTTGTTATAAATCAAAATCAAGCCCTATACCAGCAATAATTCCCAAGCCTCACCAGGACCACAGCACATCCTTTACAGCAAACTTTTACCTAAATAACAATGTTGAATCTGAAAATTTTGCTACCATTTGTGCCTTTCTTCCAGTTATAAATATAACAAAATCAGATCTGCAGACTTTTGAGGCACCACTATCAGCTTTGTATCATGATAAAACCTGGCCATTTGGTTCCTGAGCTTGGCTTTCTGTCCCTACCCAGCTGATGTAAGGCAGTACTTCACTTCTCCGTGTGTGACAGTTTACATTCCCAAGCACCATTTGTGAAGGATTTCTTAAAACAAAAATCAAAGCAATGAAAAATTCTCCTCTCTGGAGGAGACAGCACACAGCCCTTGGCTAGAACTAGCCAGGCTCTTCAGTCTCCCTTGGGAGACCTGCCTGGGAATACCTGCCTCCAGGCACAGGCACTGCCCTGTGCTTGCTAAGGCACCTCAAACTCTGCCAGAGCTGTCTCACTGCTGCAGTGCTGCCACCAAAAAGAGTCCTGACACAGCCTCCAGCTCTAACATAAAGTTACAGTAACTCCCTTCCACAGAGCACAAGGTCTAAAGGATAAACTTTAGGGTTTATCACCAGATAAAAGCAGTCAAGTTATTGAGTGTGGCTATCACCAGGAGCAATTTAAAATCTCCCTGGAAATCTCTGGCTTAAAAATTTGATTTAACGTGACAAAAATACTTTTAAAAAGTGACTTCTGAACATGAATCTACAGTAATAAAGGACTGTTCAGGTTCAGCTGAATGATTAAGCCTGCCAAATATTCTAAACAACAGTGGTAAAGACACCAAAATGCTCTTTCAGATGAAAGATGGTCAAGTAAACCATTGCTCCTCCTCTCAATAAATCAGGCACACAGCTCTTTCCAGGAAGGTCTTCAGGACTTGCACTACTACTGATAATTTTGATAAATAATGGAAAACATTTTTAAATCTCTTCATCTACCTCTTGTTCCACGGGAAAACATCCAGAAGACAAATCATACTAAGGTTTCCTGCACGAGGCAGAGTGTCCCTCACCTGTACAGGTCTGTGATCTGCCCGGCCCTCCAGCGGTAGAACAGGTCGTTCAGCAGCCGCTCGTGCTGTCCATACAAGCACAGGTAGTTGGAGACAGGGAAGGGTTCCTTGGAAAAGCAGGTGATGCCATCCACCATCTTGTACTTGCTGAAGTGCATCCTGAAGTAGTTCCCCTGTCCTGCCTCTCCAGTTATTATCTCCGTCCCCTGCAAGAGAGAACACCAGGAGAGCTGTAGAGGTGAAAGGAACACCTGACCTGGCACATGTACAGGGTCAGCGAGGGGTTCCCAGCCCACAGTTACCACTTCCTAAAACACACAGCCCTTTTTGTTAAATCAAGGGACCATTCTTTGCACTGTGTGTTATAAGGTACTTTGCTGTGGCTTGGACATAGGTTTTCCTGTGTGGTTTAGACCTTGATTAACTGCCCACCCAACTGTGCAGCATGGGCTGAGTGCCACTGCAGACACCTGAGGGCATCTGGGCCCTCCGGCTACACTGGCAGTGACACCAGATCCACAGGGACCTGTGACCTCCTGGAGCAGCAGCTGGAGTCAGGAGGGATGCCGTGGGGCAGCCCAAACAACACTGCATGCCTCTGTTGGGGCAACTCAATTGAACTCTGTTCAGCCTCAGTTACGACAGAGCACACACATGGCACATCCTGCTTTACTGAGGATCCCATCCTGAGGAATGAAGAACACACCAGCAGGCTTTTACTCTCTCTCCAGATTTATAACTCCCCATCTGTATTTTTATACATGTAAGTATGTGTATATGCAAACAGTGTAAGTGCAGAGTCCAAATTCATGGCATGTGGTAAAAGCTGCATGACTGCAGGCAGAGGCTGACACTGCCACATTAACCAGGTCCAGGTGAACTCCAATGCTGCAACCCAGATTTATCACATACCAATGAAGCATTTCTGGCTTTGTGTAACACATTTCCCAGTAGTCATGGGTGAGATGTGCTGGAACAGCTTTCCAGCAAGGAGAGAAATACCCAGAAGGCTCCTGCTCAGTCCCAGAACAACCCTATACACTACATAAACAGCCCTATGTACAGGTGGGGCTGCATCTACAGGAGGCTGCACTGCTCTTAGGATGTTTCCTTCAGGCCGTGTTCTAGACCATTAAATAGTGAATATCAAAGAACATATATGCATGTACTTACTTACATATGTATATGTGTGTTTATACACACAAACACACACATCTATATAGGATTTAAATTGCTCACACCCAACTCTTGCTAATTTGAACTGGGGTTGCCATGTGTTGCCAACACCAACTCTACTGTCAATAAAGTAACACTGTTGAATGTTGATGCTCAAACTGTAGCATTTAGCTTCAGCCACTTAAATCAATCACTTTGAAGACAAAAATGTAAAAATTTGCTTCAAACCTGCCATTGCAGTGGGATGATCACATAGCTTGAAGCTGTTTTTTCAGGCTGTATTCCTGTTCCAGTTTTATACATTTCTACAACCTGTTGCTAGGCTACAGGAACCTTTGGTACTTCCACATCTCAGCTAATACCTTTCACTAGCTTCTCTTACTTCTTCCTTAGAATATTCTTTTAGGATGTACATGAAGTTTCTAGAGTGGCTTTAAAGATGGTCCCTTTTCAGGTAATCAGCAGGTAATCAAAGCAGCAGCAAAAGAATTCTAATCGTGTTCTAGCAATTTGGAGTAACAAAACCAATTTCTCTCTCTGATGGTCCTTTCAGCTTTCTAGCACATCCTGCTTTGGATAGCTCATCCTGGATCTGGAAAACAAGGTGAACCAGGCTTTGATTCCTCCCCAAAACCATGGATTTCTTTTTAAAATCCAACTTCTTTCTATGGACCACCACTGTCCAAGTTTTAAAGCGAACACTGAAGTAGCCTTTTAAAAGCTGCTCTTTAAATCAACTGCAAGAATGGGCTTGATACAGAAATCCCTGAGGTAAAAGGTACAATCTATGTGAAACAGGAGCTTGCCTAGCTGGATGGTCCTCTCTGGCTTTAAAAGACATTAATCTAGTCCTTTTCTTGTCTCACAAGTCAGTTCTCCAGTAAGAGAAGTGTCCCCATGTCTGTATCCTGGGACAGCCTCCCATGTAGCCCAGTGTGTGAAGTGGTTCCCCCTTCCCTGTTCCAAGAGAACCCTCATGGCTGCAGGACTCACTATTTCCTAGCAGTGAAGCACAGAGCACCTCTTCCAGAATAATTCCTACTATTCTAGAAACCAACTGAATTTCCCTGATAAACTGCCAAGTTTTATCATCTGTGTGCATTTCCAGCACCATATTGCAGGGAGGAAAGAGGTTCAGCACTAAGGCTGAAAGCACCAAATCCAGCTAATACTGTCCTATGTCCTGTGCATAGAAATTGGGCATCATTGAAGAAAGCCAAGTGTCAGGAAGCGTGGAAACAAAGCCCTGAGAGGTTCAGAGAGGTCTGTCACTCCCCTGGTTCAGCAGCTGTACCTGGTGTATGCAGAACATGCAGGCTCAGCTGACTGGACCACTTCTAACCCCACCTGATGGCAAACACAGCACCCCCCCACGTGCCACACGTTCCCTTTGTGCTGGGAACTGCCACAGACACATCAACCCACACTTCTCAGGGTACTTGGTTACAATTCAGGGTACTCGGGCAGGTACTGCACTACCCTAACCAGGAACCTCCTTCCAAAGAGAGGGCGAACCAAAGAAGTTCCGTTACTTAACTTACGTGGTCACACTGGGCAAGTTCTGTGTCCGAGCGGGTGGGAACTGCTGGTTTGGAAACGTGTAAGTAGTTATAACCTCCAGGAAGAACACCTCCTGCCATAAATGAAAATGAGGTTTATTAAGTCATAAGCAATGAAGAAAATAAAGTACTTGTTTGCCCTCCTTCTGCTGTCATCTTTTTCCACTACATAAGGAGCTTTGAGGGCTGTTCTGCCATGAGATGGCACCTGAGGTGAGATGGACCTGCCTGTATTACAGAACAGGGGAGGAAAGTGGGACAAATCCAGTGGGACATACCTTTAACTTTACATCCTTTGTACATGGGGATGAGTCTGTCTGGGCCTTCTGGTGGCTCAGAACGGGGCTGAAGGGTTGGATCAAGGAGACTCAGCATGGAGGCAGCAAGCTCAAAGCCAATCTCTCTGGAGTTGAAGTTGCTGTGTGTCCATTCATCTTTACAGTATCTCCTGGAGAACTTTGTTAGAGGACCTGCAGCCCTGATGCTGACATCATTGGTGCAGAATTTGGCATCAATCACAAGCTTTCCATCAAAAACAAGGCAAGCATCATTGACTGCCTTAAAGGTTTCATAATCCACTGCCCTGTAGGCAAAGCTAAAAAATGCCTAAAAAGAGATATAAATAATTGTAGATTATATTATATATTATTTACTGGCTAATTTCATAAATCAAAACCCACACTTTGTTCTGAATGTTATTTATTTAAAAAAAAAGAATAGAAAATATAGTATGATTTTATATACACAGATAGATCCTTCTGCTACCAAAATGAAAACAAAGATATTAGAAAGGAGAATTACCAAACTAGACTCATCTGCTTCTGGTTATTAGATGAGTTTTATTTTAAAAGCTCCACTGTTCACCATATGTGAAACTACTATGAGTGGCCATGTGTATTTTCTGTTAGTACAAGCACAGGACATAGAAGACCTGAACCCTCTATGAAGTTGGTTTGCTTCTTTCAAATGCTCAAGCCAACCTGAAACCCCAAGGAATAGAAAAGCACAGTGTACTTTGCCTTCAGCAGGATAACTGTGTATTACAAATGTTTTCCCAACTGTTGAGCCTGTTTACCAACAAACTGAGTTACTCTGGCTGCCAGCACAGGGACAGTCAATGAAATGGAAAGATCAGAAATTAGAAATGTCATCCTCATTCCAACTACAGCAGCATAATTTCAGCCAGTGGAAGCTGCAGAGACCAAGGAGGTTGTGAGCAGTGCAAGAGGACTGAACATTCTCAGGAACAGGAAAGCTTCCAGGTTTGTTATATTTGACAGTGTTATAGATTTTGGAAAGCATATCCAAATTTTGTCAGGACTGAAACACCTCTCTAACTACTCCAGACCTGGATCATCCTTGCTTTAGGAGGCAGGCTGACCTGTACCTCCCTAAAGCATGGGACTGCTGTACTCTCTAAGGCCAGGCACTGGGCTGGCTGTCCATCAGATCCACCCAGATCACCCAGGCCAGCCCAGAGGAGGCTGTGTCTGCAGGGAAACTGTCTGGGACATTTGGCATCAGCTGCTGAGGCTGGTAATGAGCACAGCAGATACCTATTTGGTATGTTTTGTTTTGTGAGACTGAAAAAGGTGGGACTTCCACTCTTTGAAAAGATGGCCTGTACTGTCTTAGGCAACCTTACAGTCCTGGCCCTGAGGTAGGGAATTATCTCGGGACCAGCAGCTACTGAAGTCACAAGCTCATCTTCCCCACAGGAATATTTCAAGGACATTTAAAGAAAATCACCTTAAATCTCTCTTTTGAGTCTCAAAGAAAAAAAGCTAGTGATAATTCCCTCCTTTTGTCTTCTTGTGGCACCTGCACAGTGGCTCTCCTGGGACACCAGGAAGCAGATCAGACAGACCCCACCTCCCCCAGAGAGGAGCCCCGTGACCAGCAGTGCAGAGCAGGTGGTGCTGGAGCAGCCCTGGAGTGGAACAGATGCACAGGCAGCACAGCCCCGGACAGGGATGGTGCCTGAGGAGCAGCTTTGAAACCCAGCACCACCCTCACCTCTGCCAGAGCGCCGCGAGAGCAGATGTGGGAGAAGCTACAACTACGAGCAGTGTCCTCAAAGCTGCCTCGTGCCAGGCTAGCAAAACATGGGCCCCAAGCAAGTGTAAAACAAGGGCGCACACTGGACATGGAGGGTTAAAAGGAACAAGAACAACAAGGCTGAGAGATGTTTTGAACAAGACCGTGCTCTACAAAGGGCACGGACGAAGACTGATCATCACTACAACAGAGTTTGTGAAGCTCCAGAGCCCTCACACAGAGCTTTCCTCATTAGTGCTCTCAGCTTTTAAAATCATTAGATGACAAGTCACAGGTTGCTGTCCCCCATCAAGAAATATTCCTGTACAGGCTGAGGAAAGGGTGGAAGTATGCATTCCCTTGCTGCTTTCATCCTCAATAGCCCAAGACATAACTGTGTCAGGACAAAGCAGCATCCATAATCTGTCCTTCCCTTAGTGCCATCTTAGGGAGGACACAGCTGTGACCTTGGTAAAGGTGTTACCCAGTTGTACCCCCAAAGAGCTTTCCTGGGGACTAAGTAAAGTGTCACATGCTCACAGCCGGCTGGATGAGCCAGCTGGAAGAGAAGGCACAGGAGAGGGAAGCAAAGGGAGTTGGAAATTTTAGCAACACTGGCACAGCAGAGATGCAGCAGCAGAGGAGCCAGAGCCCCTGGGCTTGTTTGTAGATAAACCAAGTGATGAAGTATGCACAGCTAAGGGAATTCTGACCATCTAGGAGAGCAAAATCAGGGAAGCTCTGCCCATGAGGGCAAGGGGACCACACAGCCCCATGTCCTGCTGGCTGACAGGCAGGACGGTGTCACCGGAGGGGAGGGGAGGGCTGCAACCTCCAGGCTGGGAGCCATCTGTCAGCCCAGGCAGGAGGGAGGGAGGCTGCTGCTTTAGGGAAAGAGGAGATTTTCTCCTGTTGTTTTTATCCTGCAGGACTCAACAAATTAAGTCCCCAAGAACTGCCAATCAACAGCTGATACTGGCTCAAATCCCAAAAGGCACAGGGCTGCTGCAGCACCGATTCCTGCACAGCCTGGTCTCTGGTGAGCACAGCTGCCCTCCTGGCAGAGGCTGCTCTCCTGAGCCTGGCATCCCCTGAGCCCGGCCTCCCAGGCAGCTCGAGCCTTGCAAGGCAGCTGAACTGGTCTTGGAGAATATAAAGCCCCTGACATCACAAGTAATTAAACATCTCCCATCTTAGAGGTTGGAAAAGAGAGATCTTGAGAGGGAAGGACCATGGCTGGAAGAAGAACGAGCAGGGACACAAATGGGCAAGAGAAGCAAACCCCAAGGCAGGGGAGGTTTAAGGGAACAGCCACATGGGCCAGGTGGTGGGGAAAAGAGGGGGGGCTGATGGGGAGGTGGTGAGTGAATACCAAGTTGCAAGAATGAGAACCACATCAAGATACCTGTGGAAGAATGATAAAAAAGGAGGAGTTTCAGGGAAAGAAGAGAGATCTTGAAGAGCTGCATATGAGAAGAGTGGGAGAAATGTCACTACTGACACAGAGACCAAAGTCCAGAGACCACTATGGGTAAAAGTGCTGTGCGCGGTCTTCACCCCCCTGAGGAAGGGTTCAACTATCCCTATGCTAAAAAGAGAAGGGCTGCAGTGCAGGGGAGCCAGTAGGGACCCCAACACCTGGGGAGCTCTCTGGGAAGCACAAGGACAAGCACACAGCTTGTCCTTCCCACAGTGACAGCCGCTCCTGCACAAAGGAGCAGGCACACAGCGGGGTGTGCGGGGCAGAACGGCAGCATCCCATGGAGGGAGGTTCTGAAGTGACTATCAGAAGTGCTCGCTCCTGTGGATTAGCCCAGTAAAGGAAAACAGAACAATCCTGACCTTTAGGAACAGCTAAAACTTGTTCCCAGCCTCAGAGCAGAGCCACACCTGTGAGTGTACCTACACCTAAGATATTAGTACTGGAGCTGAACAGAACTGCAGCCATTGATGTAAAGGGAGAGAAATCTGCTAAAATACATTTTCATTAAGTTACATAGTAGGCCTCTCTATCCTAATGTTTTTGGTTTCTACTGTGACTTAATCAAGTGCACATAACTATAGACAGGAGTAATTGCACACATTTAAATAAGGAAAGGTTTTCTGGAATTACTTCGAAAATGAATTAAGAGTATTTGTCACTCAGCAGCAAACTACTACTTGTGTATCAGGTGACTTAAATACATTTTAATCCAAATCAGTCAGGGCATTAACAATGGGTTTATTTTGATTTTTAGAAAGCCAATCCTTGAGACTAACAAGTGAATGTTCAGTCTCCTAGAGACAATGAGAAACAGATAAATCAGTGAGGGACTACCTAAATGTGATGGCCTTTGTCTGAAGGGGATGCACTGAAAGCACACACTTACTGAGCACTGCAGCTTCAGCGGGGTTGTGGCAGTGGTGAAGGCAGCCCAGGTGATCAGCTCCGGGTCGCTGCCCTCGCCCCACTGTGCCAGGACACTGTCCCCGTGCAGGGCCACGCCAGCCTGTGCCAGGGCCTCCCGGACAGCGCCCTCCACCTCGGCGTTGGGGAGACAGGGAACATCCGAGCTGAGCGGGGGCTGCACGAGGTGGATGCGAGAACCATCAATTCCAAGAGATAAGAGGGTTTCTACTGTGGTGTACATGTCAATTGTATTCCCATAGACAATGACGTTCCCTAAGAGGAAAAAAAAGAGGGGAAAATTTCTAAGACATACAATGAAAACCTTATTAGGATAACTCAGATGATAATAACGTGAAATTGCTCTCTTTGACCCTCTTATTTCTCTGATGCTATGAAGCAAACAATGTTACCTAGCAACAGCAGCTAAGATAATTTAGTAAAGAATCTGCACAAAACATCCCACAAAGTAGGCAAGTACTTAACACAGAAGTATGACATTCATCCTGACCCCATAATTTGAAATTATTTTGATTGAAAAGCCTCTAGGGGGGGAAAAAAAAAAAATCACCATTTTTTTGTTCTCTCTCCTCAATTTTGCTCGTTCAAAGGACTGATGGAGGGAGCAGACAGGAGCAAATTAAATACATGATGCAGAAAAACCCCACAAACTGTGGAAAGGTCAAGTTATAGAAAACAAGCCTTTGTGCCACATGGTCATCAGTGCTGCAGCTTCTTTCTGCCAAAGCCTGATCTCCAGAGAATGGGGCCAGCCCTGCAGACGCACCCTGTCCCACCACCATGGCAGGCAGAGCTCTGCACCGCTCTCTCGAGGTGCCTCCCTCCCTCACATCACACAAGCTCTGAGCCAGCCAGGCTCCATCCCTCCTCATGCTGGAAGTCAGCAAGCTGGATACAGACATGATCAGCTGCTGGGACAGCAGTGTGTGGGTCCTGCTGCTCCTTCTGCAGGAACTGCTCCTGAAACCAGCTCCATCTTCCCACCCTGGGCACCCAACCCAACACACACCTCCCACCTGCCACTGCAGAGCCACAGGGCAGGGCCTTGCACGTTCCTGTCCTGAACTGGTGCCACTTCAAAGGGCACAGTCAGAGCTGAGCAGGAATACACGGGGATGGGAGAGTCCTGTTCTGTGTGAGCACAGCAGGACTCTCCAGCCTAACAGCTAAAGCCCTCCTGGTGATAAGGGAGGCAGAGTTGGGATGCATCGGAGCAGCTGCATGTTTTATCTCAGGATGGTCTAATATAAAACACACAAACATTCCTCTGAGCAGGGACTGAAACACACTCCTCTCCTGCCCATTCCAAGCACAGGAGAGCTGAGCCAGGCCTGCCCCAGCCCCAAGCTCCAGCCTCGGGGCAGGAACAGCTCTACCTGCCTGCCAATATCCACATCAGCTCCTGCATGCTGGCTGTCTCAGGACAAGGATCTGACCTGCCAGCACGAGGATGCATCAAAAGCACAGTCCTCATGCTTTAATGTCCCATACCTGGGCAGTGCTGCAACTAACCTGCACATTCATCTCAGCACTGGCATTTATGTCTTGCCACGAGTGACAGCACCCCCTATACATAAATTGTATTATTTACAGGCTAAGCTGATTTCACTGGGACCATGTTTTACTGCATGAGACACAGGGCAATACTAAACTGAACATGCACACAGCCCAAGCTCCCAGGAATATTAATGATAAAAATGTTAACAGATGTTCTACCATTCCCCTTTGATTACAAGGTTATTTTATTTGTCCCTATCAGTTTAGCTATTTGTAGCTGCCAAATAAACATCTCTCTTCATAGCTGCCAGAGAACAGAACCACCCCATGAGTACACTGCTCAGAAATTATGGAAAACATGTTTTTACTGTTCACAGCAATGACCAGGGGAACAGAACAATTTTACCTGCAAATGCATCACTTTGAAATCATAAGAAGAAAGATCTTACTAATTCCATAAATATCATACAGAACAAGGGAATTCTGTCCAATATGTTCATCACTGAGCTGACTTTCCAAGCCAGAACCCATTCTGTGGCTCGTGCCTGCCAGGACACCTGTCTGCAGGCAGTCCTGGCCTCAGGAAAGGTCCAAAAGAGAAGACAGACATAAAACTGATCATTTTTTCCCTGCTGCAGCAAGGTACAATGCAAGAAGCAACGAAGCAGAACTTGGGGTGAAAGACCAGATTTGCTACACTCATTTTCAGTAACTCAACACGCTGAGAGTGCAGGCAAGAAGGTGGTGTGCAGGTGCTGACAGCCTCATGCTATGTTTACACACTTTAGATTTGTGAGGAATGAAACACCAGGAGCTGAAGAGGCTACGGTGGCTGGAAAAGGAGGATGAGGAGGGCTTCCCAGAGGCATGGCCCAGCAAAGCTCCATTCTGACTCTGGGGCAAGGCTGGGCTGAGACACCTTTGCCATTTGGCAGCACCAGTTCCCTCAGGAGGAAGCTCAGTTTCTGCATTAGACACTGGCATTTAGGGAAATACAAGATCAGATTCAAGCCCCACATTTGTCATGGAAAATTAAAATTCTGTTTTATATGGTAATATTAAATACAACTGCATTAGATCAGGGAAAGCAGTGCTCCTTTACTGACCTCTTGTAAATCAACAATTTACTGCTTCTGCTTATTACAATATTAGTGGCTTTTTAGATGACAGTGCTAGTAGTCTAAGAACTACAGATATTCATTATGGACTGAAATTATGTCCACTGGACAGAGAGCAGTTGCTCAGGATGCTTTTATTATTTAACTACATGAAAATGCATCTGAGTAAACATAATAATCTTTCATGGAAAAAGCAGCCATAAATAAAGATCATTACAGTAGTTTTATCATTTATTACCCGAGTGTCAGCATCCTGCTGCAGAGAAGACTCATTCATTTTCCACAAGTGGAAGCACAAGATTTCGGTGACCCCAGCATGACCTGAACCTTTGCAGTTTGCAAAAGCTAAAGGAGAAACCCAGTATGAGCCAAAGCATCAGTGGCTTCGGTAGGTGGTTCATGCACTGGAATTTTAATGCGAGAGTATTCCTACAAACACGCTTTTAATAAGGCAGTAAACTATGCTTGGGTATAGAGAGAAAATAATTGCTCCATTTTGGGCCATTAAAGCAGTTTTGTTCCTTCCTTTACTTCCATCCCACTTTTTATGTTCGTGGCAAGTGCAGAGCTAACGGGAGATGGATTTCAGGTAGTCCCCACTCCAGCTGTCCCAGGTTCCATGCAGCAGCTGGGTTTCACAGCAAAGCCGCAGGAGCAGCCACGGGGCCAGGGCTCGCCCTGCTCCAGGGCTGGCCACAGCACTTCCCTAAAGGAATGCCACCGGGGGGTGAGCCTGGCACCACACCACTGCCAGTTCTCATTATGCTCAGGAGAGAGAGAAACTATCTCATTACACTCAGGAGAGAGAAAACACGTCTTCAGGACAGTCCCTGGGACAGGAACTCCCCCCAGACAGCTTTCCTGCTCTGAACTGTCCTAACTCAGAGCTGGCAGGAGCTGACACAACATGAACTCACTGACTGCCTGCCCCTGTTTCTGTAGTTCAAAGCTGACTGGGAAGCCTGGATGATCCCAGGTATTTTCAACAGCAAACACAGTGGATGAACTAACGAATACATGAGCAGAGTACATGCACCAAGGCTGAGGAAGTACAGGGATGGGGGACATCTAAACAAATGTCTGATTTTAAGGGTTACAAAGAGAATACCAGGAGATTGCAGTTCTCTGTGAAAATCTGTAACTAGTGCAACTAAATACAGTGCTGACAGAGACTTCCTAATTTAGACCTGTTTTCTTTGTGTTACATCACATCTATATAACAGAAAAACACATCCACTAATTAAATTATTATTTAATTGGCTAATTAATGACTCCAGCCAGATTTGCATTTAGGACTCATTTTGTTTTATATAATAATAACTGCAGATAATTAATCTATCTCAAGCCTTTCTTTCCTAGCTAAATATGCTGGGTATCAAAAATGACAACAAATTGTAAATTAATCTGGAAAACAAAGCACAGCAGATGAAAGACTTTGTTAGAATTAATCAGGCACCAATTACACCATGGAATTAAGGAACCACTAAGCCTAGGAAACATTTCTGTAAGTGTGCACACATTAAAGCCCCCTTACCTCTGGAGCTGACCAGGTTTTCCTGCAGCCAGTGTGCTGCCCACAAGCAATCCTGGTCATCATTGAGAGTGAAGTGATTGGAAGGGATTTTCCCCGTGTATCTCTGTGGCCACTCACTCATGACTTGGCTGTCAGTTGGGAGTTTGATATCTGCTCCAGTGGGAGCCAGGGCCTGGAAGGGATGAATTGGTGAGCAAGTGGTTATCTGGCACATACCTTGGAGACATTAAAAGACAATGACACACTCACTTTGAATGCCTCAGGCTGCTGTCCATGCACACCCCAACCCTCCTTCACACTCAGCAGCAGCAAACACACCCGTGGCCACAGAACATGGATTCCTACTGGTCTGAGTTCACACACTGTGCATGTATTCCCTGTTTTCTATGGCTTGTGGGTGACCATTCCAAACAACAGTGCCAGTACGAGTGGAAGCACATGGCAAACACCACAGACTGCACAGCAAACAGCAGAAATACCCCAACACACAGCTGAGGGATCTCTGCAGTTCTCTGACTAACAGACAACTTGAAAAGGAGATTCTTTGTTAGCTCAGACTGCCTCCACTTTTTCTCAGCAAAATTAACTTTCTAAAATAAGAGATTTTGTCCCAGAGAAAGGGGCAAAAACCTGCTTTATGGTTCAAATGCCAGGATTCAGTACCATGTTCACTGTATAATGCTGCTTTACAGTAACAAACTCCACCTGAATTACACAAAGCAAAAAGGGAGTCTCATACAGGACTTGTGCAGCACCAGTGATCCACATCCTGAGCAGTGTTCTCACAGCCAACCACATCAACTGAAATCAGGTTGGGTCACATAAAACCAGGCATGACATCAAAAGACCTTACTCAACAAGAGAATCCTCTAAATCATAACAAATGTTTTAGTAGGCATTGATTTGACTGCTAACCAAATAAGGGACAACTTATAAAAAGGATGGACTGGAGCTCTGTGTAATAAAACAGAAGCCAGACAACAAAACTAATTCCTTCCTGTCCTTCTGTAGAGCTTAGAAGTGAGAATAGATGATGGGATTTCTTTTCACTTGCTTTCTTTATCTTTCTTTCTCCTCCCCTGCAGTTACTGTCCATAAATTATTTTGCAAGTTAGAGTTACCTCCAAACATCTTTTCCTAGGAGCACTTTTTCAGCCCACACTTCAGCTTTTGTTTCATCCCCACTGAACAGTGACCACAGGCTGCTGTTTAAGTGTGGTTCTGCCCTGAGAGGTGATCACAAACCCCCCAGCCTGCTGTACACATGCAGACAGACCCTGCTGTGGGCTGAACACCCTCATGTTCATGTGTGGGACATGGCACAGCACTGTACAACCTGCAGACACATGCTGAGATTCATCTCCTGATTTTAAGGGCAAAACGCCTTGCTCACAACTCCTATCCCAAACCACTCAGCAAAGCAAAGTCCTGCAGCAAGAGGGCTGTGCCAAGCTGCCTGTTTGGTTACACAGCCTGATGGCCCCGTGGGGACACATGAGCCAGAACCAGCCCTGCCCGTGGGGTCCGAGCGGAAGCTGAGCCTGTGGAGCTGGAGCTCAGCTTGATTCCACATCTTACATGCAGCTAAGGGTCTGCTTCAGTCTCAGTGCAAACTCAACTTGTGTGCTACAATACCAAGCAGCATCACAGACATGCCTAGGCATGGTCATCACGTGAGACAAGCCATTAATTTGATAAGGAATTCTCTCCACTGCCAAAACTAGGTCAAATGGCATTAGACCAGCTGGAGTTAAGTCTCCTGTGGCTGGGGCCACATGTCAACTGGGCCTACTCTCAGCAGGTTTCATGGTCACAGTGGCAAAAACACCAGCAGCTTTGCTTCGTCCCCAGTCCTGAGCAGTGCCACTGCTGGTGGGGAGTTGTGTCCAACCCCTCCTGTCCCCTGAGCTTGGCTGCGGCACCGACACAGCCCAACGCGCTGCACTGCAGGGCTCAAACTGCCTGGAGCTACCCTTGCTAAGGCCTGCTCTGCTGATCCCAGAACACTGTTCACTGGAGGCACTGGGAATGCTGGGTTGGTTTGCACTCTGCACACCACCTCACCTGGTAGTTCTGCCCCGTGCACAGCACTAGGTAGTCGTATGGCACTTTCTTCTCCTCGGAAACAACTACGTATTTGGCAGCACGATTTATGCCAGTCATTTTACCAACTACAACGTTAACCCAGGAACAAAGTGACATCTGTGCATAATCTTCATCATTAAAACAGTGGCTGTGAAGAAAGAATATCTGTAAGTGACATTTCAGCAGCTGACAGCAGGCATTAATTAGACATCTGGTGAGCTCGGCCGCGGCCCTCAGTGGTTCCGCCTGCTCCCTCACTGTGAGTTTGCCACAGTCTATGGCAAAAGACCAGTCATTATCAAGTACTCAGTTACAAATTGTCAACTTTCTGCTGAAACCAAACAATCCCTCCCAGCACTGGGCCATACAACCACGTAATTTAAGAACAAAGTCAGAAATACATGCTTTACTCTGCTTTTCCTTTGCAGGCTGATGAGAGGAGGCTTTTGCACCTGCAAAGAAAATACTTTAACGGTCCAATTTTTTCTCCAAGACAAGTCTCTCTCATTCAGCTTTTTTGCTGCCTTTGCTATTCAGCTTCACCGGTCATGGCTGTGGTGAGACAAATGCAGGGAAGGCACCACTAGCATTTTAGCATCTGTGTTCCAAAGTATTAGTCCAAAAAGTTTAAAAATTAATAGAAAGCTATGAAAATTGTTGTGAGAGCTAAAAGGAAAAGGCAGAGGTCTCAAAACTCCTGTTGGTGACCCTTTTACAAATGAACTTCTCCACAATGCAAGAATAACAAATTCTGAGAACATACTAAACTGTTCCTCTACCCCAAACTTCCAAAAGCCTCTAAGATGCAACTGAATTCCTCTGCGACGGTCAGGGTGTGCATAGAGCACACACTACAAGCACCACTTTCTCCCACAAGCCCAAATGTGATTAATCCAAGGGGCTGGGCCCGTGCTCGAGCGTTTGATGCCCTTCTGTGGCACTGGTGGTCACAGCAGAGAGTGTGGGCAGAGAGCAGCACTCCAAGCTGTGGCCTTGCCATCAGTGCCAGGGTGCACATCCTAACACAGAGCAGCTTGTTACCCACTTCCCAAAGCTGGCATTCAGGATGCCACAGGAACAAACACAGTTGCTTTCATGACCTGGATTACCAGGCTTTCTGAGGTGCTCTGCATCCTCTGCACTCACAGATACCAGAGGCAAATAAATGAGAATCACTGACAATTCTAAACTGTAATCATGAAGAAATCTATAAATAAGGTGGACATCAAGGACAGGGGAGGGTTTTCAAAAGCACCTTCATAATTGAGGTGCACAGCTCCCAGGAGACTGACACTCCAAAATCACAGGGATGCTTTCAGAAATCATACCCTGCAGAGTTTAATTTTCACTCTTAATCTGCTTTCAGATTTTAACAGCTAAATCTAGTGAGGCAGTTCTGAACCATAACTTTCCGTCAGGCAGGCTGCTTTGTTAGTACAACTGTTTTTTACAGTGCACTTAGGAAAAAGAGTACATGAATTTATGTGAGCATATAACCCCTTCATTTGCTAGACTTGTACTTGAACACACCTCTTTCTACAGTAAAAAAATTAATTCAGGTAACTACTTATAAAAAACTTCTTGGCAGGGCAAAATACCAAATGAGATCAGGTGGTTTTACACAGGTTCCCATCACATCATTTTCACATCTTTGTAGAGATTTCATTTGTAAGGTTCAGCAAGCAGACATGGAGTTGTTTTGTCATTTAAAGAGCCAGCCCTGTAGTGCACTGCTGCTCACTGACGACAAGATTTGGTAAAATACGATGTGCAGGCTCCAAAGAGTCACATAACAAATCTAAATAACTTACACTAAGTTCATTCCCCAACTATTCAGAATAAATGATCCATTTTAATTCCATGCTTCTCAAAGCCCAGAACAGTCATGTTCCTGTCTACAGGGAGGACTTCTAGTCACTATTCCAAAATAAAAAATAAAGCCATCAAAACAAAATTGGTGTATTTAAGTGAGAATTATGTTCTGCAAATTTTAATAAGGTAACATTTTATCCTATGAAATGGAAGATATCTTACAGTGTTTGACAGTCCCCAGACACAGTCAGGGCTCTCACCATCTTCCCTTCAGCTGCTGTACAGCAGCCCCAGCTCTGGGACCACGCTGTGGCTGGGACTGGGGACAGACTGTCACAGCCCAGGGACTGGCACACACAGCCCGTGAGCAGAACTGATGCAACACAGTTCTGCCAAACCGATCCACAGCAACAATCCTAAAATTTCCCCCTCTACCATCAGTGGGCTCTGCATCTCACCACGTGCTGCTCTGAGTCAGTCACTGATCATTTTACTAATATTAATTCCTGTACATTCTTTGCTTCAGCATTATTTGGAACAAAATCCATGAAAGTTAAAACCCAAGTAAGATTTAAAAAGCGAGCAGATGTCTTCTGTCATTTAACCTGGGATCTAAACAACCTAAAAAGCCTTGGAAGATAGAGACCAGTGGATTGCTGTCCAGAAGTTACTGCTTTGGCACTATTTCCCTCCTCATAGTTCTACCCAGTTCCTCCAGATGAGTGCATGCTGGATGGACAGACTGGAGCATTTTGGGGCTGTCTATGGATCTAGCTAAAATTTAGGACAGGTTCACAAGAATTACAAGGTGTTATGTTTTCTGCTGGAGCTACAAAAGTGTTTAGATGTGAAGTCAAACCTGTTAATTAAAAATCTTCTACGCTTGGAGCCTGGTGGATCTTTTCCTGGAAGGCCATGAACTGAAATCAAGGTCAGGTTGTTGAACTTCAGACGAGGCCTGTGGAAAGAAAAACAAACAGCCCCATGTGGACCAGAAATTCAGAGGGCACATCAAAGGAACAGTACAGAACTCCTTGTTCAGGAGGATACAGAAAGCAATTCCTTTGCACAAGCACAAAGTGTTTGGTCATTGTGCTCAGATACAGGTGTCTCTGGATACAAGAAGAACAATTTCCACTGCAGTTTCAGTAACACTGGGGGGGGGGACAAGACTAACAGTATGTTGAACTAAATGTGATCTGACATTTAAAAACAAATAAATATTACAAGTGATTAAGCCTTCTAATCTTCAAGGCTTTCTGTAAGTTAAGGATGGACTGATGCAAATGGTACAAAGGAATCAGAATGTTTTTTATCAACCAATGTTAATTTGTTATTCATACATTTAAAAAATATATTCAAACAAAGTTAAAGGTCATACTTAAACCAAGGAATTTCAAGGTTATGGCAGCCCCTCTCAAAATGCATATTAATAGTTTAATTCTGGATTATGGATTATCTGTGGTAAATCTCCATGCATACTCAGGCCGAGCACAAAGTAATAAATAACCTTAATGTAACAAAGTGCATATATTTATACAGATTATGGGCCTGATTCTCATTTAAATTAAGGTCACTCTGCAGAGGTGGGTGTAAATAGAATTTGCTCTTCATTTACGGCCACATTATGCTGGCTGAGTGATACAAAATGGTCTTCATGTAAATGAGAGCGAGGCTGATCCCCGAAGCTGAATGTGGAGTGATGCCATCTGCACACAGGGACTGCTGCGGCGGGGCACTCACAGAGCCTCGACAGGAACCCCACACACCTACACAGCAGGGCTCCTGGGCAATTAGTGTACCTGGGATTAATTACACAAACACCCCAGACATCCTCCTGCCCTCACAGCAAGGAGGTTTCCTTTCAGCGTGGAGCCCAAGTCATCTCTGTACACACTGCATGGCCTCTTGCCAACAGGTCTCCAAACCCAGGTGCTACAATAACATTAGGTTTCAATTACATTAACAATATTTAGGATGAAAACATTGCAAGCAAGCAAGCATCAGGAACATGACAGAACAAAGGTCCAAGGCAACATAAATGTGCCTCTTTTGCATGACTGCACTATGATGCACTTTATTGATCTGGTCACATACCATTTTCCTCTGCAGATGCTCTACCTCTATTGAGTCCACACACACTCCTCCAGGATTTCCCCAGTCATATGGTATTTGTTCCCTGCTTCCCCATTGAGCGAGAGGCTTCAATTCAGAGCTTTCACTCAGTACGATTTACTAACTAATGATTTACTTCTACCTCAGCGCTCCCATGGCATCCCCATATGCCCCAAACATTAATTCATGTTTCCCATTCATTCATCTCGAAGGCATCAAAATGTTGATTAGCATCTCCTTAGCATACTGGGATGAAATGAGTCATATCTTTGATTCCCACTTCACACTGAGAACAACCCAGGCACAAAGCCCCCTGGATGAGCTACCCCGAGCCGTGCTGGTGCTGGGGGCAGGATGCAGAGCCCCTGGGGCTGGTGCCCTGCCCGTGCTCCCAGTGCTGCACAGCTACGGGCACAGCTCGGTGCAAACAGCAGTCCTGGCTTCAAACAGAGTAAACTGCGTCTGCTGCTGACTGTCACATTTGTTCAGTCTTTAAGCACAGGCTGGTACTTGGGAAAATTATCAGAATCTTTCAATAAGTAACTGTAGCTGCAATGCCCAACCCCAGGATTTACAACACATTCACATATCCACAGTGTTCACTAGAGGGGAGCTGAGTGCTCAGCCACGGCTCCTGCTGGGCACAGGCACAGTCACCACAGGGTGACAGGCTGGGGGACTGGGACCAGCTCACTCTGCACCATCCTCCCCTTTCCTCCACAGAGCTTTGTTATTTCTAGGCTAACAGAAGGATGGTTTATTTACTGCAGCTTTTGATTCCTTACTGCTGCCTAAAAGCTCTTAATAACTGAAAAACAACCAAGGCTCTGGAAACAGGTAGTGGGTGTCAGGGGAGGGAATGACTTACACACTGCTAATAAATATAACAATGCCTGACAGGAAACAGGGCAAAGCAGAGGTTCCCATTTGGTGAAAAAGTCTTCAAGTTAAGAGACTGAACCAGTGCAACATCAAACAAGTGCACCTGCATTTTAGAAGCAAATAATTCCAGCAGGGATTCACGTTGCTGTGGATACAGAGGGAAGAACAGCTCAAAGATACTGGTAAAGCAGGGAGGGATTAGAGTATCTAGGGAAATAAGTAAAAGGTGTTGGGTTTCAGTGCACAGCTCTAGAGACAGGCTACAAAAAAAAAAAAAAGAGTCAGAACACTCTTGTCCTCAGAATAATACAGGGTTGTCAATTTACTGTGAGCATAATCAAAGGGACAAACAGAAAAGTTTTAGTACAGTATTTACATATATCCTGTTGTTTGTGAATCTGTTAGAATATTCCTTGCTTGTTTTTCTGGATTTTTGCCTGATGTCTTGCTACTTTTTTTTTTCCCTTCTGTGTGCAAAATAACCATGGAGGCTTAGATGGTGGAAACTGCCTGAACAAATAATTTAATCAATTGCTTTCATTAAGCCCCTCATTATCACAATAACTCACATCACTTTTGTTACAAAAAAATAAAGTGCAGTAAAGTAGTCCCCATGAACCTAAACATATCAATTTATTTGAAATCATGCATTTTTTGAAATTATTTTTCCGGTAATTTTTAAAATCTAAAATAAAAAAGGGAGACAGAAGATAATGCTTTATCTGGCTCCCAAAATTGTAAACTATGTCCACTGTAATCTCCTCTACACATAATCTTTAAAAGATAATATCTGGAATTATAACCTATCCAAAAGTAAACTCCTAATGCCACTTGGATCCTTAGCTTCCCTGTAACACAGTTCCTGTAAAAATCACATCTTGAGATAGTTCTGAAAATGGTAAAACATAGTGTAATTTCAGCACTAAATGCTGAAAGCTGCAATGTGAAAGCCTTGCATTGACAAAACTTCAAAATCAAAGACCTGTCCTGAAACAGAAAAAGGAGCCTTGAGATTTTTGTGGGGAGGAAGGAGCCCAGAACGAGAGATGATGATAAAGTCCCAGCAAGCAATACCCTGGTGTTGAAGGCACAGAAACTCAGCGTGCCCAGGTGTCAGTCCCATTGAACAAGGCAGATATAGGCAGCAGTATCCCTTTTCTCCCAAAACATAACCATTTATCCAAAGTAGGACCCCTTTTTGAGGAAACATTTCAAGAACTCAGCAATTGGGATTTGACTTGGAGAACAGACTTCACCAAAAGGAAAAGATATTCCAACAGCTTTTCCAGCTCCACACAAAACTCCGAGTAAAAATGCCCAGCTTAAAGGTTGCTCATACTAATAACCAGACAGAAACCCCACTCATTGCTGTTCCTGCTCCAGGATAAACACGTTACTCAGCACTCCAGGGTTGCTCTGAGCACCCTTTGCAGGCGGTGTTTCCATGCTGCCTGCACGCTCACTTTGCTTTGCTGGAGCCTTCAGTCGGCCACAGCAGCAGCCCAAGGGTTTGCTGTTTGTACCAACACCTACCAAAAGTGCCCGTGCTCCAGAACCTCCTCCGAGTGCATCAACTGCAGCCCCCAAGCAGCATTCCAGCTTCACTGCTGACCAACAGATGTCCAGCTACAAGTTATCCCTCTTTAATTACAAGTAAATAAAGATTATCCAGTTCTTAGGAAAAAAGTGTTAAGATTGTGAATGAATTTGCATCATGAAAGAAAGGACAACAACGAAGTATTTACACCAGGACACTTGTCCCTGAAAGGGTCAAGGAGGGGCTTTCCACACATCCCTGTGTTTTCCAACCTGTGTCCACGACTGTCCCTCCCATGCTCAGCGACTCAGAGAACACACCAACTGAACCAAAGAGAGCGTGGGATTGCCACTCCCGAGCCCAGGGCACGGGGAAGCCACTGCTTACTTCAGTGGGAGAAGTCACACCTTCTCCTTCTCAGAACACCAAATATTTCCATTCCAAGACAGGTCACAGCACTGGGAAATTCACCACCCTCTTTCATTTCAGAAAACACTCTAAATCCTTCAGAACAGAGAGATTAAAAGAAAAATGTTTGTGTCTGATTTTGATTTTTAAAAAATTCCAGATGCAATTTATTTAAAAACAAGAGTCACTTTTTAAAATGACACCTCAGCACAATATTTCATCATGTCCCATTACTTCCTCCTGGTATCAAAACAACATGCTTCCTTCAAAAAGTTACATGTTTGATGGAACAGCACTTTTCAGTGTTGTTTTTTCCAGGCACTTCCCACCAGGTTTCTTGGTGATGAATTTTACCAGATGCTGTCATCCAAGGAAGAGGAGCCTATAAGCCCAGGCCACGAAAGCCACCACTGTCACCACTTTTGACATCCTAGTAAAAATCCATTAAAAAAGCTAAAGAATATTTCCTTCACCCTTTGACTAACACCCTTCAAGGATGCTGGGAGTGCTTCTCTCCAACCCACCTCCTCAATATTATTATTCCACTAAACCCAAACACAGCCCTGTACCAGTCACTTGAAAGAAAATTAACTCTCTTCCCAGCCAAAACCAGGGCAATACTGTGTCAAAGCTGTTCCTCTCCAGTTAAATTTGTCTTCTCCTGCTAAATTATATCCATTTATCCTCTCCCTCTTCCCCCTTTAAGGGATCAGTCCTGAATTCCCTTCCATGGGGTTATTTTGCTGCTTGTCTCTCTCATCCTCTGCACTGACCCTTTTCCTAGAGAATATAGCTAAACACATCAGCAACTCTGACACCTTCCAATTCTTTTATTAATCCCTCCTTTTTTAGGCAGCTTTATAGCACCCCACAATCTTGATTTCTCCCTGTTACCCAACATGTCTTTCCAGTTTCTTCTTTCAAACTTCTATCCATCTCACAACTCATTTCTCTGAAACATCTCAGCCTCCTCTGTGGCAGTCACTGCTTCTGTCCTTCCAGCCACCTTTCACTGC